TGCTAGGACGCAGTTAAAGATGAGCACAGCATTCCACCCTCAGACAGATGGACAACCTGAGCGGGCTAACCGTATTCTGGAGGATTACTTGCGTCACTACATCAGTCCTCAACATGACGATTGGGATGAGTGGCTTTATCTTGCAGAGTTTAGTATGAACAATGCTTGGCAAAAGTCGGTTAAGGAAACCCCGTTTATGTTAAACACTGGTCAGCACCCACGTACACCTCTTGATGGGGGCAGGGAAACTCGGGTCCCCCAGGTCACTCACTTTGTGCGTCAGATGGATATGAGTCTCGCGCGTGCGAAGCAAAGTATCTCATGGCGGCACAATCGCGTATGAAGTCTTTTGCTGATCAAAAGAGACGGGACGTCTCTCAGCCTTTCGCGAACTTAGGGGGAGAAAGTGCTCCTCTCAACGCAAAATATTAAACTCGCCAATCCAGGGACTCGCAAGCTTCTGCCCAAGTGGGTAGGACCGTTCGAAGTGATCGAACCGGTGGGCAAGGTCGCTTATAAGTTGAAGCTTCCACCAATTCTCAAGATGCATAATGTGTTCACGTTAATCATGTGAAGCCCTACAGAAATGATGGCAGAGTGCAGCCGCCTCCGGCCACCACCGGCCCATCGAAATCGATGTCTAGCTCATTGGAGTATGAGGTCGAAAGAGTACTCGATAATCGCACGGTTAAACGCGGAAAAAGCACCAAGACAGAGTACCTGGTCAAATGGTTAGCTAGGGTATGGGCCCGAGCACAATACTTGGGAACCAGAGAAGAACCTTACTAACTGTAAGGATATTCTCGAAGAGTATTGGGTTTATGTGGGTAAGTTTTGGAAAGGTGTACCCGAGCCCGCAAAAGCTCAGGTGAAGCCTCCTAAGGCTAATAAGCCGAAGCAGAAGGCTGTCACCAGGTCAGTTCGTAAAGCTGCTAAGAGAGCGCAAACGACATGAGAGTTTTCGTAAACCAACGCTCAACTGTTTTCTGACAGAATTATTGTTCAAACTTAGTTTTGCAGACTCTGTGACTACGAAGTTTGCGCGGCCGCGTCTGTCGTTCCGCCGACCTTCTACGAGCTGCCTACCACCGTTGATCTGCCACGTGTCATGATCAGGTGGGCTTCTCTACTGTGTTCTTAGACCCACAGTGTCATAGAAGTCAGGAAGTAATTTTTATATTTTTGCACTGGTGCTTCGTGGTCAGCACGGGCAAAGAAGATAATTGGCACTGGCAACTTGAAGTTGCTAGCCACCACTCGCACTCCCAAGCGGGACGATCTGAGCCCGATTCCTTTTTGAATGGAAAGTAAGCGGAACCCAGACGAAACCGTCAATTTTCCGACGGTCGAAATCCAAGTTGACCCACAAAACTTCTCGATGAAGTTGCCCGTCTTTAAATACAAGGAATTAAGGGGTTGAGGATCAACTAGGATGTTGGTCAGTATCTGTGACCTAGCGGGTTATCAAGCACAGCAGGACGAGCTTCCGGACTTCCAGGGAACTGATCCGTTCGTAAGTCGGGGGGTAAATCCTTCGGGAGACCGACCTGCGTTGGGTAACCTCCTTCGCAATCGCAGAGCGCTCACTCAGAAGACATTGCGTCACCATCCCGTAACGGATTTCCGGCAACGCCGCGAACAGCCAGGCCCAGATTACCGGGTTCGAACCCCGGAGCATTCCATTTTGCTCCCGTGCGCATGTGCGTTCGTCAAGAAGTGCATGCATGGTTGTTGTAACAGAGTCTGTGATCAGCTGAGCAGCGTTGATTCCAAGTTATAAATTTAAGCTTGATTAGCCTCGACGTAGGACTACGTTTCCTGGGAGTGTGGCTCAAAAGCCACGTCTTCTCGGGACTCCGTCCTACGCTTTTGCTGATGTTCATAGATCATGGAATATAAGTTTATTTCAAAGAAGACATTACTGAAGGCGGGTTTACGCAGTGCAGGCTGGGTAGCACGCTCAGCATTGACACTCTCCGTACCGCCTTTTTACTGACGTTGTCAGGGAATTTTCAATAAAGGTTTAATTTGGAACTCCCAGGCAGAGCTAGTGCATCGAGGATATAATGGTATACTACCACATATCCGGGCTTTAAGGCTTTAAGGTTAAGGCCGATGCTCAGCTCTTTTGTCAAGTGACAGCTAACGTGCGGCTTATAAGTTTGTTCTAACGAGAGAATTGTAACGAAGGCTTTACCCGTGACGGAGCGGATGAGCGGTACGGTCTGCTCATCACGCTTGCGTCATCGACCCTTCCTTTTGCAGACATCATAAGTTTGTTATGTCTGACTGTTATGTATTATTTCTATGTGACCAACTAAGTTAAAAATTGGGTTGCACATCCAAATGATACGTCTGCAGGCTGATGTTGCACAGGTTTGCTGAACGCAGCGTGATTTCATCGGTTGCCAATGCGGCAAAGTTTGATTCTGTGCGGCATCAACTTTTTGCCGTCGATAGAACTTTTGGTTCCGCGATGTAAAATCTGCGTCGCTCGATACGCGTCGCGCGGAACCGGAATTTGACCGGCGGTCACTGTCCCCGTACGATCGGACCCACATAAATTATATCCACTGGTTCTAGTGTTTACAAGGTTAAATTTACCGACTTGTTTCATGGTACAGGGTGACCAGAAGCAAGCCCGGTGCTGAGTGATGGGCTAGGCAGATTGCTACAGCCCTCACTCAACGCCGGGCCCCGCCTCTCATTGACTTGTACCTTTTGCAGCTCTCCGGAGTTTCGCTCTTAAGGGGGGAGGATTGAAACGGCGCTAGCTTTCCAAGCCTCCGCGGGGATCCCCCGGTAGCTAAGCGCGTGCGGGTCACGCGGACTTGTGTCATTAACGCGCAGTTAAACCCCGAGCCAGTTCCGCCGTCGGATGGCCGGATCCGGTTGAATTCAAAACGGCATACTGTTTGAGTAAATGCGTGTGCACGTACTGCAAGTCTGCAACTCATAATATCATATACATGAGAATATGCATGCAACTCCCAAGGGGGAGCAGGAATGAGACATGTAGTAGTCTCTGGATTCCACCAAAGGTGTAACCTTTACACAACCTTCTCTACGAGAAATTTATCACCAGGCGCCTTCGCGCCTCTCCCGGGCTCACCAGGAGTAAGTGTTACCTTAGAAATCGCCTTGCTCCAAGACCTGCTATCTGTGTACGGACTGACAGCCTGAGGGCATGCAAGTCAACGCACGTATGGCAATAAGTACAGATTAGGTCGGAGTCACGTAGGTCAAGATAGCATGCAGTACAGTAATATGCAATACAGGTCAGCGTAATATATGATGCACTCGAGTCGGTATGGAAACAGAGCACAAAACATACAATAGCACAGGCAATAAAACAACAATGGCTGCCGCGGTGGCGGAACAAGCAAAGGCAATGGGAGGGCAAACAAACACTTGGGGTTCCAAGTGGATCCCGTTCTCTTTTGGCGTTGAGAAGGAATGACTTTACAAATCAGAATCCTTCTCTTTATTCCTGATTGTCTCTAGCCTATAGGCTGTCAGCGACACGGTCGGCCTCTCCACGCAATGGGAATCGGCACGCTGGCAACTGACAGCCTTCACTAAAATATCTAGGCCGCTACTTCAGAATTGGTTTTGAATGCTACGGCCGTCTTCACTTATGCAATGAACTTATTTTTGTTTTTTCCCTATGCAACTTCCTTGCATCCTCCTCGCTTCCCGAATCTTCTACCCGGCATGCCACGTGTCCTCCTATAATTGGACGGCTATAAGCCGCCAACTTCAGCCGCACGTTTGTTCATGTTCACACTTGATTGGGGTGTTGCCACCAATGATTGGTTCCGGTTCGCAGAGGTTTACAGGGTTTGGGATGGGTTGGTCGCGCGCATGCGCCCGCAGTGCTCTGGGTAGGCTAGTGAGTCTGTGAGGTTAGTAAGGTTTTGAGGTAATATCTGTTACCTTTGCCCCGGCGGACAAAAATGCACGTCCTCGTGCATTAAGGAGGTAGATAGGGTCTTCCGTTCGGTGGTTGTACAGTGATACGGGTAATCAGTGCGACTGGGTCTGGCCGGTAGGTACTATAGTATAGTTCGAGTGGGATAATCTGGGTGACGGAGATCATATCTCCGTTGTCAGTTGAGTTGGTTTCTCTGGTGACAATTACCAGATTGTGGGTGTAGTCAAATCGGTGTAACTCGTGAAGCCAGGTGGGTCGGAAAGGTGGGTATGAGATGCTGGATCGATGGGCTGATTGCGCGGGCAACTTGGCTTGCTTGGACAGGGACAATAGTTGTTGGGGGAACAAATATGTTGGCGATCGTGTAGGGTAAGACTAGGTCGCCTCATTGGACAGGGCTGAATGGGGAGTTCGGTATGAAGAACTGGGTTGCGGAAGGAGCAATCGGTACTGCGGTATTTAGAGGAACGGCTTGTTCCATTGGTACGTCCTGGGTCGGGGTTTGTGTAGTTGGTACGGTGGGTGTCAGAAGGGGCTGAGTTGGAGTGTTCAGACTTGCTGGTGGATCGGTTTGAGTCGGTGGATACGGGTTTGGGTTAAGCGCTGGGTTAGGTGGTAGGTTAGCTGGTTGAATTGGAAGTGGGTTGACTTGTGGGTTCGATGCGGAGTTAGGTCCTGGTACGGGACGGACGGGCGGAGGAGCCATAGGTAGAGTGGGTCCGGTGGGTAAGGAAGCAGGTAGGTGAGGTACGGTGAGTTTGGATCGAGGGGTCGGAGAGGTCGGTTGAGGGTTCGAGGTTGAGTTTTTGTTAGGTTTGGTGTCTCTCACTCCGGGATATTTGGGTGGTGGATTGATGTATTTACCAAAGAGGCGCTCGGCGGTTGCCCAGTAGTTTACGAGTGTGTCTCTAACGGCTTGGTCAACGCATGAGTTATTTGGGTCGGGTCGGTTGAGCCATCGGTGCAGTGGTGGGATGCCTTCCTCCTGGGCAATCTGATCTAATGTGGCGTTCAGGCTATTGAGGTTAGTGTTTTGGAAGCAGTGTGTTGCGTAGGCGGGTAGGTATTTTCCTAGGAAAGAGAAAGATTGAGCTGATTCTTGTAGGTGTGGGTCTGAGAGGATCTCGTGAAGGAGACTAGTGAGTTTGTTGCGTTTGTCTGTATAATCGGGGTCTTTTGGGTCAAGGTATTTCGGGTTATCTCGGTAAGCGGCGATCGCCCAGAGCATGATAAACCAGTACTGCGGACGAAGAGCGTCCTCAAAGCGGTACCTGACGGTGTCTGGGTCGCCGGATTTGAGGGTGATTGGGGCGTTGGTCGGGTCCATGCGTCGGTTAAAGTGGGTCGGTCTGGATCCGCTTGGTCCTGTGGAAGAAGCATGCGAGATATGAAGTTTGGTCTCAGAAGTGCTTGGTAGCTTGCATCTGATATTCCGCACTTGTTTCCGTTCTGCGGTAATTTGTATGTCGAGCAAAGTGAGTGGATCAGAAAGGGGCGGTTTTGTAAGTATGCAGAGTTCCCGGTTAAAGTTTAACACATCAGAATAAGTCTCTGTGAACCATGACGTTCCTGCTTGTTCCAATGGGAGATACTCACGCACGCGGGACAGAAAATTTAGTGGTTCTGTGTTGATCAGGTCGGCGAACAGGGTTTCCGGAAGTGTGTCGGTAGGATTGCCTTCAAAGTTAAGAGGAGACCACATGCCAGCTCTCCCCAAAGTTTCAAACCAGTCTGACAGTGATGCATCATTCAAGGGATACGACTGGAGGAAGGCACGGAGTTCAGGCCTCTCAAGAGCTTGATTTAGTTCGGCAAAAAACTCGGTGTGGAGTGGGTCGCCTGGTTCCTCTGATTTTAACAGGCTCATCGCCTTGATTCCGACTTCAAGAAATGAATACAAATCACGAATGGTGGGTTTTGTCTCCAAGTCCTGATCCAATGCGTAACTCCAGTATGTCTCGACAATGACAAGCTTGTCATAGAGCTTGACTTGTGGGTTCGAGAATACACGCGCTGCCAAGCAGAACGACTTGAACAGATTTACGACGACATGGTGTGACTGCGCAACACAAGAAAAATAAACCAGATCGTCTTTTCCGAGACGCAACAGAATTCGAAGCAAGGCCTTCTCTGGTAAGTTTGTAATGGGCGTAGATTCGTAGCAATCGGTTATGGGTGGCACCAGCGCGTAAGGATCGCCGAACAGCAAGTCCCCGCGGACCTTCTGCAAAAACGGTTCCGTGTACGGGGTTCGGATCGACGAGGCCATCGAGGTAGGTAATCTCTTTTGTGGATGCATGCGTCAGTGGGGGCCCAGCACGGTTCAATACCTTACCTTTGGGTGCGGCTGGTGTTGTCTGGTCTTCGGTAAGTCGGGGCTGTCTTGCTGGCGGTGCTTTCGGATCAGCGTCCGCAGCGGCAGAGTCCGGAACAGTGACGTCAGCAGCAGGGTTGGAAGCAGCGTCGGGACGGTGACGGCAGCAGTGCGGTTGGCGGCAGTGTGCAGAACAGTGTTGGCAGCAACGGTGTTGTCGGCAGCGTCCGGAGCAGTGACGTCAGCAGCGGCGTTGTTGGCAGCTTCCGGAACAGTGACATCAGCAGCGGCGAGGTTGGTCGGTTTGGGTGCGGTTGTGTTGCTTGGGTCAAGGATGTCGGTAGGTCCTGGGATTGGAGCAAAGTCGGGCAAGTCAGTCATGTTTTGATCAGCTGTAGTATAGGTCAGCAAAAGAGGGTCAGTTTCAGGGTTAACGTCGGTAGGTAACAGGTTTAGGTCAAAGCCACGTGGGTTCGGTGCATCGAGTATGGGTTGCGGGGCGTGACTTTGTGCTGGGAACCTGGAAGAAAGAGACAAGAACTCGGCTGCAAACTGGTCTCGTGAGTAATATTTAACAACTTCGACTCCGCGGCGCTTCCACTTCCGGCCTTGTGCATCCTGCAAAACAGCAACACGGTTGTCCCCGTGACCAGTCCAACCTTTAAATTTGTACGGCCCTTCCCAGTGCAACTTGAAACCTCGAATGGTGCCTGGCTTCTGCATCAAGGCAAAATCACCTTTGGTTAAGTTATCAATTCGCTTACGTTTCTATGCGTTCCACCGGGCGTAGTTCTCTTTCGCCTTGGTCTGAGCTGCTTCGATCTGAACTTTTTACTTGTTGCTGTATGGTTTTGATTGTTCCAAAACGGTGGATTTGATCATCAAGCGTTGGTTCAATTTGTTGGTCTAGCGGAGTCGGTTGAGCGGCGCCAAACAAGTGATGCGCCGGAATGATCGGTTTTCTGCCATACAGAGCAACGAAGGGGGAGGTCTTGATGCTCTCTGGATAGGAGATGTTATACTGAAATATGATTCGCGAGATATGGTCTTCCCAGGTCGTCGGTTCTGCATCACAAAGAGTTCTGAGTTGCGACTTGACAACTGACATGAGCCTTTCGACTTGACCGTTTGCCTTTGGATTTCGGGTGCGGATCTGGACATAATTCAAACCCTCCTTCTTAAGTTGTTCGGCAAACTCTTTGTTGAACTCGGTCCCACGGTCGGTCACGATTTGAAACGGACAGCCGTGACGGAGCAAGACTTCGTCACGAAATACGTCAGCGACAGTTGCGGCTTTGTTGTCCCTGAGTCCACGTCCTGACAAGTGTTTGGTGACTGGGTCGATGGCAAGCATGACGTACTTAAGCTTTTGGGTACGAGAACGCTGAACAGGGCCAAGTAGATCAACATGCACGCGAAAGAATGGGTCTACTGGCGGAGTCGGGTAGATCTCACGGTCGGTTCTGCCGGCACGTCCGGCTTTCTCCTTTTGGCAAACATCACACGAAAGCAAAAACGCCCGGGTGACGACAGCAAGTTGGGGAAAATAGAAGACGCTCTCAACCAGTTGACGAAACTTCCCTTGGTCCTTTGGATAGTGAGCTCCGTTCTCGTGAATCTCTAGCAAAGCGGGTTGCACTTCGTTCTCCCATAAAACTTCAAAAGCTCAGATCCTTTCTTACGGTAAAGTACGTCATTCGAAAAGGTAAATTTGGTTTGTCTACGTTTAAAGTTCTGCCGTTGGTTGCATTAGTGACGTCACTTGGGTACTTTTGTTCCTTGAAAAAGTCAACGAGTGAATGCAGGAAACGGTATTGGTCGCCTCGGATTGCTTTCAAGGCATCTACTGAGTACTTGTAGGTCTTTTTAGAAGATGAGCTTGGGTTACACGGGGGCTGTGGCAACGCAAGCTCTAAGTTGGGTGGTTCCTCACCAAGGGCGGCACCAGAAGTGGGTACAAGTTGGTCGTGCTTGCGTTTTCCGGTCGGTCGTGCGGAGTTCTGGACGTCCTCCGGTTGGGTCGGTTGTGACGTAGGTGTAACTCCAAGGGCGTGGGTCAGGTCCAAGGTAGTCGGGCTGCGGGAAAGAGCAAACATGGTTTGATATCAAGGCAGAAAAGCATACAAGGCAAAAGGAGAAGTAAGAATCGGTTAACTGGGTTTCAAGTTAGTCGCCTTCTTTCATGTCCGATCGGTCTAAATGTTCAGCAACTGCACGAGAAAGAGCGTCAGCGTTGCGATGTTTGAGTCCTTCCCTGTGACGGAATTCATTATTGAATTCCGCTTCGATCAGATACAACCACCGCGCCAATTTTCCTGTTTGAGGGGCAAGAGATCGGAGGTAGAGGAGAGCTTTGTGATGTCCGCACAATAAACTTCGGTCGTCCCCTGAGGAAAACAGAAAAATGTTTCAAGCCGAAGACGAGAGCAGCCAGCTCTCCTTGGGTCGGTGCCAGACGGCGCTCGGTTTTGGAAAGAGTCCGCGACGCATAACCTATGACTCGCTCCCTTTTATGCCCCGGTTCAATCTGCCCTAGAATCGCAGAGATCGCATGCTTTTCATAGTCGGTATCTATAGAACAAGTTGGCAATCAGGATTGTATGACGTAAGCACCGGTTCGGAACAGAGGCAATCTTTCAAGAACTCAAAGGAACGCTGACAGGCTTCAGTCCAATCAAAGTCTGCATCCTTTGCTAGCAATTGAGACATGGGTCGGGCGATATGCGAAAACTTGGGTATGAAACATCGGTAGTACTGCATCAAACCGAGCACGGACTGCAATTGCTTCACGTTAGTAGGTGGTTTAAGGTTCCGAATAGCTGTGACGTTCTTCTCGGATGGTTTGATACTGCCCTGTGAGATGACATGCCCAAGGAATTCCACTTCTTCGACTCCAATCACACATTTCTTGGGACTGAGTTTCATTCCGGCCCAAGCAAGTCGCTCCAAAACTCGGTCAAGTCGGTCAGCCAGGTCTCGAATAGAGTCAGCACCAAGACACAAATCGTCAATGAAAACTTCAAGCCATTGAAACTCGTGAAGCGGGAAAACAATTTGCTGCAGACGGGTAAATGTTGCGGGGGCGTTTTTCAGTCCCATAGGCATTACAAGCCACTCGAACAGACCAATGTTTCGAAGACAAAAAGCTCTGTAAGGTCGGTGCTCCGGTTTGACAGGGACGTTATAAAAACCGCTTGTGACGTCCATTGTAGCAAAGTACTTGAAGCGGGCAATTTTCTGTTGTAGGTCGGACATAAAAGGCAAGGGCATGGACCAGGGTCGGGTCACGGAATTCAGTTTCCTGAAGTCGATTAGAAGACGCCACAGTCCTGGTTGCTTGGGTTTGGGTTTCAAAAACGCCGGAGAGCTCCATGGTGATTTACTCGGTTGAATCTGACCTTCTTTGACCAACTGCTGTATATACTCTACGGCTGCGCTTTGCTCGGCAAAAGACAGCTTGTATGGTTTGATTTTGAACGGCTTAGTGTCGGTCAGGTCAATTCTCGTGTTCAATGAGTGTAGTATAACCGATGTCCCCTTTGTGACGGCTGAACCTACTAATGCGTCTCTTGATGACGTCAACAAGTACGTTTCGATCTTGTTCACTTAGGGTCTGACCAAAGGTGATTTCCGAAACAATCTTCTCGGCATCCTCTTCAGTATAATCGATATTTTTAAGTGCTTCGACTGAGTACAACTCTTGAGTAGAATCAAAACACACTTCCATCTCAACACGGCAAAGCTCGGGAGGTGGGTCCGTGCTGTTAGGTGGGTAAATCCAAATCAGCTCCGTAAATTCAGGGTCAGAGACGGCGCGGCAAACATGCTTTAGAATCTTTTTTAAGCGACCATTCTTAACCCGGTTCGATTTAGCCCAGCGCTGCATACAAGTCAAATCTGTGTTCTTCCGAATTTTGATACCCTTGATAACCAAACCCGGAGAAGCCTTAGGGCACTCACACGAATCAGTCACACAGACTCCTCCAGGGTACACTCGTTTTTTGGATCCACAGTCAAAGAGAAGTCAGGGGGCGTCTCCCCAATACCAAACCAGCCCCCTTCGATCGCTCCGACTAGGTCGGTTATGCAGTAACTGGGTTTATCGTGCGGGTCATCACGCTCGTGATCCAAGACAAACGGGACGCGTACGACTGTGTTTCCGTAGTGCAGGTGAAGTTCGTTTTTGGTCCGCAGAATATCTCCCTTCAAAGGGCCAAGAATGTCGTTTGCAAGCAGAACGTTGTAAGAACACTGTTCAGGCATCACAATCATTGTGGTTCGGATGGTTAGCGGACCGAGGGTTAGCTTAACCCGGACTTTGCCCTCGGCCGGACACAACTCTCCAGACGAAGTTTTGTAGTGCACTAAAGTCTTCTTGATGCGGTCTAGAATGCCTGCTTCCCTACAAATAGCTTTTGAAATGCCAGAAACTTTTGAAATGCCAGAAAACATTGCACCACTGTCCACACAAATACGTCGCTCGGTCAGTCGTTCAATCGTACCCCGAATCTTGGTGCGGAGAGGGGTCGGTTGCGTTGGTTCGGTCCGTGGGTCGAGGGAGCACTGGAGCAAGTTGGTCTCCCATGCCCTGGCTGGTTGATTGGGTGGTGCGTTCGACTGCTGGGTACCTGCGGATTGATAAGTAGGTCGGGTTTGAGTGTTGGTGCCAGAAGAAGCACCAGGTCTGCGAGCTTTTCGTGAGACATGGTCAAACAGGTGGTCCACGTAACGGTGCACTTCGGTGCGGAAGTGTTTAAAGTCCCGGTGGGTCACGAGTTGGTCCTGGATGGGAGCAAAGATTGCACGAATAACAGAACGGTTTTGGTCAGCAAGTGCAGCTCGGTTTCGTTCCCTAGTTTGTCTTTGCTGGGCCTTCTGGTCCTCGGTCAGGGGCTTCTGCACAGGTTTAAAGGTTCTCTGCGTTTGGGTAAGTCATTTCGAGCTTGTTTCCTAGGACCTTGGTTACTCGGGTGACCTGGACTCTTTCTCTTTTCCGCTGCAAAAGCTTCTGGGTCATCATCGTCTAACTCGTCCGAGCTAGTGTAAGCATCTTCGTCAACAGACTCGGAATCAGAACCGTCTCGGACTTCGACCTGCAACTCCTCTAAAAGTTCTGGCATGCCTTCGTCCCGGTCGGTAATAATAACCTCCAAACAGTGGGTTTCCTTAGGTTTGTCAGGACAATCGAATCGGTGAGTACCCCATCTACGGCAACAATCCAAGCGGGGAACTTTGGGTGGATTATTGCATTCGCGGAGCAGATGGCCGTGCTCCAGACACTTATGACACTGCATAGCCCTAAGTCGGTCGTCGATCAGAGGCTGTGGGTTAGCGACGTAACCAGGATTGCCAACTCGTCGTTTGCTTACTTCAGTCCTTAAGGAATCCAGTCCTTCACTGACTGCATGGATCTGTTGACTCAAATCTTCACCAGGCATTATGCTGTAGATAGTCTCATACTCGCGGGCGGCTGCAATTGCATCATGCACAGTCTGAGGAGCACGCCCAATCACAGTGTCCCTGACATTTGGGTGAAGGTTTTTGATAAAGTGGATCTTTTGTTGCTGGGGAACAAGGTCAAGTTCATTGCTGAAAATACCGCATCATTTTGGTTGAGTATTCACCAACAGATTGCTTCCCCGGCTTATACTGGGTCATTTCAATGTAGATCTGATCATAGTTATTGGTGCCAAATTGCAGACGGAAAGCACTTTTGAAGTCTTCAAAGGTTTGGTCACCCGGTTGAGTGCCTGCCCAATTCTTTGCATAATCCACACAACACATTTATAGCATAATTGGCCATTTGGTCTTCCGGAATGTTATGCATCCGTTTGATTCTGTTCATGTCAGCCAGCCAGTCCAAAGCATCAATACCTGTCTTCTTCCCATTGTACTTTGGCATGTGGTGTAGGGCGGGTAGATTCACGCGTGGCCCAGCCATGGGCGGTGCAACGACTGCGGTCTCTGTGAAAGTGGGTGCTCGAACGCTGACCTGAGGTTCATGTGTGGTTTGTGAATCTGACACATGTGGTTGAGTCCGGAAAGGCATCGGCCGAGAGCCTGGGTTGATGAACGTGGCTGCCTGACTTGACGGATTGTCTGAGAAACATAAGGGGGTGTGGACATGCGAGAGTTACCAGTAAAGAGAGTAGGTCTGTTTACTTCTGGGTGAGAGGCAGCAGCGAGGGCAGCAGCTACACTGGTAGATTGAGCTGGTTCTAAAGGTGCAAAACTCACAGCTGCATGTGGTACATGGCCTGAATACGCCTCATAGGTTGGGGCAACATTGCGTGGATAAGCTGCGAAAGCTCGCTGAGCATCTACGTATGCAGCTCTCATGATGTCTTGAAGCTGCTCCCGAGAGAGTGTAATGCTTTCACTGTGTGTGGGCTGAGTTGTGGCTGACTGAGTTGTGATTACGGGCACTGTGTTTGGTGACTGTGGTCGAGAGGCAGGATTTGTTGTGCTCCAGTTCAATGGCAAGGCGGAAGCATCCAAGCAGACAACGAAGGCAATGCTGGAACAGTCTCATTGCTCCTGGTTGCTCTAAATTGGAAAGCTGGTGCTGAAGTGGCTTGAGAAATGGGGTTTGTGGTTGGCTGAGTGCTTGTCGTTGGTAGAATGCTTGTCATTGCGATGGATGTCGAAGCAAGTGCTGAGCTAGAACCCCCAAGATTCAATGCAGAAAGCCTGTTAGCTAGCTCAATGTCAACCGCTAAGGTTTGTGTCATAGGTGGTGGGTCAGACACGGCTGTGGATGTTGTGGTTTGTCCTGAAGGGCCTTCCCCTGAGGGATTGTTATGATCTGGCCCCATTCTTCACACTTTAATCCCAAACACACCTTAAGCTTAGGCTCAGGCACATGGTTTCACAGAAAGATTGAGGGGCAGTCCCGAGGGAGAGGAATGCATGAAAAGCAGCTAAGCACACCAGACCAGTTCAAATCCACAAAGCTTAAAATCAGTCTCCAAAAAGCAAATGTTCCACTGGAGGTGGCTTGAGCTGTTTTTAGCTTACCTTACAGGCTGTTCGTGGCCTTGGTCGAATGCTCCGAGCTCTTCTTGCCCTAGCTCCGCGAGCAAGAAGATCCTCAGTCTCAGGGGCACTCCCTTGGTTTGGGTCTACAGCAAACCTAGATGGTGCAGGATTTTTGGGCTTCTTCCCTGCCAAATATTCTTTCCAGAAAGACATCAAGTTCTAGGATTTGCCAACAAGGCCCTGGGTCTTGCTAATGCTGGTCAACGCAAGGTCCAGGACATGCTCCCTGGAAAATGGGTCTGGCGTTATAGGTAATTGTTTTCAGGTCAATCAATCAATCTACGTTTGCTTCCTCCCTACTTAGGTCGTTTTTAGGTTCAGAGCAAAGCTGGGTTGCCAAGAAACACCTCCAAGACGTGATTGGTCTTGTGAGGAAGACACAAACAGAAGTGTTTCCCCGGCATCGGCGCCAAGAAATCGCCTTGCTCCAAGACCTGCTATCTGTGTACGTACGGACTGACAGGGCATGCAGGTCAACGCACGTATGGCAATAAGTACAGATTAGGTCGGAGTCACGTAGGTCAAGATAGCATGCAGTACAGTAGTATGCAGTACAGGTCAGCGTAATATATGATGCACTCAAGTCGGTATGGAACAGAGCACAAAACATACAATAGCACAGGCAATAAAACAACAATGGCTGCCGCGGCGGCGGCACAAGCACAGGCAATGGGAGGGCAACCAAACACTTGGGGTTCCAAGTGGATTCCGTTCTCTTTTGGCGTTGAGAAGGAATGACTTTACAATTCAAAATCCTTCTCTTCATTCCTAATTGTCTCTAGCCTATAGGCTGTCAGCGACACGGTCGGCCTCTCCACGCAATGGGAATCGGCACGCTGGCAACTGACAGCCTTCACTAAAATATCTAGGCCGCTACTTTGGAATTGGGTTTGAATGCTACGGCCGTCTTCACTTATGCAATGAACTTATTCTTGTTGTTTCCTATGCAACTTCCTTGCATCCTCCTCGCTTCCCGAATCTTTTTCCCGGCATGCCACGTGTCCTCCTATGATTGGACGGCTATAAGCCGCCAACTTCAGCCGCACGTTTGTTCATGTTCACACTTGATTGGGGTGTTGCCACCAATGATTGGCTCCGGTTGCAGAGGTTTACAGGGTTTGGGATGGGTTGGTCGCGCGCATGCGCCCGCAGTGCTCTGGGTAGGCTAGTGAGTCTGTGAGGTTAGTAAGGTTTTGACGTAACAAAGAACGTTTCATCACGTATGACAGGCTGGCTTTTGACAGTCTGGCAACCTTGTATTCGGATATTTCAAGGATCCTTTAAGATCACTTGATCACCGAACGAGTATCCTAGTCGAAGTCGTTACTTAGAACTATACTTCGCCTTAATAACCAAGGTTATTAAATAATAGGATTCTTAGTAAGCCGCAACTTTCTATTGAATCCTAGATGCCTTTAGTCTCTTAGTCTATCTCGCTCTTAGGTATAGTCAATACAGTCGGTATAGACTATACTTAAAATAGACTAATACTAATCGGCATAATGCCATTAGCCTATAGTCAATATCTTAGATATAGTCTATACATTCCTATATAGACTATACGTAGATAGACTGTACTAATCGGCATTTGTTTGCGTGGCCTAATAGGCCCTATAGGAGTATACTCAGTAGGGAATCTCAATAGAAAACTTGTCTTAGTAGCATTACTACCGAAGTGTATTGCTACTACTATATAGTCTTACTATATAAGAGACCTTTGATTAGAAGTACTTCCTATACTACGGCGTTTTACTTAGTAGTATTAGTAGCCTTAATTAAATAAGACTCTACTGAGTAGCGAAGCCTCTAATCGAAGATTCCGAGGAACCTTTTGTCTGCGTGAACTCGGTGAGTTCGTTCGCCCGCATAATCCGGGAAGAGTTCGGATGCGACCGTCCGCGGTTCGGCGCAGTCCATTCCGGTCGGGCCGGTGTCGTGCGATATAACGTCGGCGTTTGATTGACGTCGGTTACATGAAGTGATGAGACACATGGATCGGCTAAGCGTTAAAAAGTACATGATACGAGCAATTGGCGGTATATGTTGAGTAAACAAGGCGGCATGGATGGAATTCATAGTCATTCATTATCGGGGTCGGGCCCCTTCCCTTGGTTAAGGATTGATTGAAAGGACACGATGGTTTCTTAAGCTGGCGCTCAGAAAAGTATGGCTGGTATATGGCACGTTATGAACAAGCTGTATTGGAGGTGGCTTGTGCTAACATTCAAGGTAATCCCCACAGCATCCAC